TCCCTATTTTTCTACTTGCATTTTTTACCTGCTTTCCAACTGCTAGGTTGGCAGAAGCTGGGACAAGTAATGGGAGCTCACTCTGTTGTGTGGTGCTAGGGATTCGAACCGCCCAACTGTCAACCTTTCTGATCGACAAGCTCAGCATCTTAGCCACTGAGCCACCACGACCCAACTTAGTTCCTAATAAAACAGTTCAGGAATGGGAAGATCAATATGTATTTTGAAAAAAGAGGAACATACTTATATGGGCACCAAAGGAATGGGAATATTTGAGATGTAAGCAAAGGTGGGCGGGGGAACCATCACAAACCTCCTTCACAATAGATACCCAGCCACCTTAACAAAAGGCTACAGAGGGGGAACTCCTACCCCGATTGGCCAAGACTCGATTTCCCAGGACACTTTGCACGGCTATTCCGCCTAGTCCCACTTAGTCTAGACCTCTGTTGGTCGTTTTCAGTGCCCTTTCTGTCGAAACGCCACCTTGATTAGCTCAATGTAGCATCACTTTTGTAAGTGGGCGGGCCCGTCCGCGAGCCTGTTTTAGAAAGTAGCGGGAGCATTATTCTTTGCCTCTTCTTGTCTTGGGGCCACGGATGACGGGCGGAGTTTATTGGTCAGCATTTACGTCAGTTAATCGTAGAGGGCGGTATCCTAATCCGAAACCAAAGGTTGAGATCAAAGAGAAGAAGAACAAACCACCACCTTTCTTTCTCTCCCATTGGGAAATATCGAGACTGCCCCGCCCCTCTACTCTAACTCCGCCCCAGGATTGGACACGCTCCTCTTCAATCCTTTCTGTCACAGACTTTCAGGCCGGTCCTTGTTATCTTAGGGAAGGGGCGGTCGGTGGCTGCTGCTCTCTTTCATTGGCCGGCTCGCCCGTCTCTCTTCTCCCTTGGCCGGCGCTGATTGATTCTTCCCCGCATCGCCCTCCTGTTTGGCCCTCAGCGGATTGGCCCGGGCTTGAAAGGAGGCGGGGCGAGGCGCGGAGCCTGCGCGCGGGGCCGCGGCGGCGGGGAGGGACTGGTCTGAAATTATTTTTTATTTCTTTGTTTCCGAGAGGGGGAGAAGAAAAAAAGAGGGGAGGGAGGAAGGGGCGGGGAGACGGAGAGCCCGAGCACCAAGCGGGAGCGGGAGTCTTTTCGGGGCCTCCGCGCGGACCGGCGCGCTCGAATGTTGTCGCCGTGACCCGGGCGGGGCAGGAGGAGCAGCCGCCGCCGCCGCCGCCAGCAGGCCAGGTTGGGACTCCCCGAACCGGGCGGGAGGATGAAGCGCCGGAGCGCCGACTGCAGCAAACTCCGGCGGCCGCTGAAGCGGAACCGCATCACGGAGGGCATCTACGGCAGGTAGGGCCGCACCTGCCGCGCCCGCCCGCCCCGCCCCGCCCCGGCCTGTCAGTGGCGCCCGGGAGCCGCCCCGTCCCGGCCGACGCGGTCCCCTCAGGCTCTTCTGGGCTCCCCTCACACACTTCCCCAAAAGCCCCGGCGGCTCCCTGGATCCACAGCGCGCCTCTCCGACCCGCCGGGCTTCCCTTCCGAGCCGGCGCCTCCTTCAGGAGCGCTGAGGCACCTTTCCCATCGTCCCCAGCCGGCCCGGCTTCGGCGGCCTCAATTCCCCCGACTGAGCCTCTTCATAATTAGGGGAGAGGGAAGCATGGGAGTTGTAGTGCAACCAGCTAGGGGAGGTGGGGAGGTGTGCCTTTCCCCCATTAACTTCCCTTCTCCCCCCCCCACCCAATGCCAAAGCTCTGGCCGGCTTCTGGGCTCCTTATGGGGGGTGTAAGGGGGTCTCCTTTCAGTTTTCCTTTTCTTTCCAAAGTCCAGTCTGCTGTTCCCAGCAAGGCGTTTAGGGCCGCAGCTGACCTGATCCGCATGGTTGCTGGCGTAGTGTGATTGGTTTTGTAGTCCTCTGTCTGTGGGAAGCACCAGGTTTTTGGGGGGTAGGGGTGGAGAGAACCGTTGGTCTGGAGGGGATAAAGTGTTTGTGACCCACCTTGGAGAAAGTGGGGTTTTTAAGTCAGAAGTCCCCTTTCCGATATAAGTTCCGATTTTAAACCTTTTTTGGGGAGGGGAGGGAGTTTTTTCTTCCTTACAAGCTACTTTAAGCCACAATTCTGAGACTCCTTCATTATGATCTTGGGCTATTTATCATTTCCTCGGAAATTACATTTCCCGGTCCTTCTCTCGAAGAGTTTTTTTTTTTTACACATGTTTTTCCTCTATGTTTAGTTTTC